ATGAATTGAGAAGAATGTTGTTATGTCAAGAATCTCCCGCCAAATAAGAAAAAACCAAAACATATTGTGGCTCTGTCCCTCAAGCCTTCATTGTGAATCGAACCGTGAAATGCTCTCATGTCGCCGAGCTTTGCGTAATTCTAATAAAATAACTACTTCTTTACATTAAAAATCTTGGTTTATTTAAACTACTGCTAGTAGCAGGTTTCAATCGTCTGTAGGATAAAAACTAAAACCCCATTCAATCTCTCGTCTCACGGCTTCCATAGCGAGGATTATACTTCGGGTCATTCAAACAAAGAATGCATTAAATGCATTCTAAAATGGCGGATGGTGGTAGTTTATAACATTTGACAGCGTTAAGTTGGAATTTATTTTTATTAGAAGAACTACACTGAACTGTCCTTTATTTGACACTGACAGGGGGGGCCACCGTCAATAGCGGATTGCTGGTTCTGACTTTTGCCACGGTGGAAACCATGTAGTTGCACGAAGATGGTGGCGCCCTTCTGTCAATGTCGTCGGTGGGACATTAATTTCAGTGTAGTTCATCTCTATTCACTGAGGAAAAAAATAATAACTTGTCAGTTTAACCTCTTTCTATGTTCTGTGGTTTAACCGATTGGCGGCTACAATCATCTTTCAACTAGAAACGCTTCACCTGAGTTTAGTGTGCACCCTTTAAAATCTGTCTTTGTAAAAAATAAGTAATTCTAATCTCTATTTCAAATGAAAACAGAAAACGTAAGCGGTCCTGACACGTACATATATGGTTATTGCGTAAATAGGATGAAATTACCCTTATAAATTTTGCGTTGGGTTGAAAACAACACGTGAATAATTTCGACCTACAACGGAGAATTTTGATTACACCGCGATATTCTAACTGGAGTTGTTTTGTAAGTTATTTATTATGATTCTGACGTAGTACTCATTTGTACCTGCTTGTTAGAATAATATGGTAATCAAGTGATAACAGTAACTATTCGTTAACATCAATTGAGTTTAATTTCGTCGCGACGTGAATACTGATTGCTACGTTAAAAGACAATGCCGGAAATTGGCGTCTTTTTTTTTTCGCGCGGCCATCGACCAATCCTTGTTTTTTGATTACAAAATAGTGTAATAAACCAAACTTACTATGACATGTATACCTCTAAACTCAGTCTGAACTGAGTTACGAGCATTAGAAGTTTGATGATTTTCATACTAGAATTGCTTTTTGCGCGCAAGTTTTGTAAGAAATTGCAACAAAATATTGCGCTATTTTTTTATTGCGCTGATTCTGCTGCATACTGATGTCTGGGGCCTTTAATAGATGGTATTGTTTGTTTACACATACAATGTCACTATTTTGTTGCAATTTCTTACAAAACTTGCGCGCAAAAAGCAAATCTAGTATGAAAATCATCAAACTTCTAATGCTCGTAACTCAGTTCAGACTGAGTTTAGAGGTATACATGTCATAGTAAGTTTGGTTTATTACACTATTTTGTAATCAAAAAACAAAGTTTGGTCGATGGCCGCGCGAAAAAAAAAAGACGCCACCTTCCATACAAAATCTGGCATTGCCATTTCTATTAGGAATAGGATCGTCATAAAAGTTTAGTTTGAACTAGATTGAAACAAAGATCGTACCAAATACCTCAGTATTTAGTAGCTGTAAATAGTAATCATTTAGTCAAGGAGCCTTCTTTTCAGCATGCGCAATTATTTATCAGTAAAAGTAAGTTTGAATTGATAAGGCGTTGTTAATTTAACCTAATGGAGAAACTCTATGATGAAAAGATGTTTCTTAGGTAGGTACACGTTTCTTTACAGAAAAGATGTTTCTTACATTACACCATACAACAAAGTAAAGAACTCGAATGGAATGGATATTAGCTTGACATATTAATAGACAGCAGAGGGATAATGTGGTAAAACACCTTTGTTAAAGATAGTGCACGATTTTTCTCATAGAAGTTATGACACCATTTTAAGAAAATTCACTTCAAGCAAGTAGGTTGCCGATTATTTGTAACATGACATTTTGCTATTCTAAGATCTTTATAAAATATTAACTTTTTTTTGCTATCTTATCGAAAATCTGTTCCCGGCAGAGTTTAGCGCGCACCATGGGACAGCTGTTGTTCATTCAGTCAACTATAAAATGTGTGCCTATGACGCGATAGCGCGTCATTTTACGTCATGTATTTGATGTACAAGCGTCAGCAATTCAGAAACGATATCGGACTCATATATGAAAATAAATGCACTTTTTTCCTTTTTACAGCACGCTGATGTTCGTCAGTAATTGACAACTGCAACAGCGTTCATTATATCGTTACAAATGAATTGTGTTCTCTTTGTATGATGTCTCTCACAGAAGGACATTCGAAGAATTCGCCGAAAACAAGAGTTCATGATTTAGTAAATAATTACATGTCCGCTTGTTAGGTAAAGAAACACGCCGGCAAAACAACCAATTACCGGTTAAGATACATCTTTACGAGCAAAGCATCTGAATCTAAATGCCTTTGAATTTGTGTTACGGTCTCGTCACTCTACTAACGACGTAGGTACCTATTTGTTTTTACTGAGGAAGTCAGTTTTTGAAGTATACCTACTTTAGCAAAGATAGTTTTTTTTAGGTTTTGGCAAGGTCTATTCCACTTTGATCACCCATGGATAAGATCTTCTAGGTCAGTGGTTCCCAAACTTATTTAGTCTACTACCCACTTTGAGAATACATTATTTTTAGCGCCCCCCATTTTTGTAGTCAAGAGTCGAGCTCAGTCGATGTCTAAGAGTCCTCCTAGTAGATGACGCCTCCCAAGCCTCTACACAACGTCCCGATTTCTTTTCTGGGTCTCTTACCGCCCCCCTTTAAGCCTGAAGCGCCCACAAGGGGGCGTTATCGCCCACTTTGGGAAAGACTGTTCTAGGTGATCAAAGTAGACTTAAGTGGACTTCTTATCCATAGGTGATCAAAGGACTTTAAAGTGTCCCTTGGAGTCCACTTTGATCACCTGGGTGCTCAAACACACGTGATCAAAGTGGAACAGCCATTTGGAAACGACATAAAGCTGTATATGGACGTCAATCAATTAAACAATATCGTTTAAAAATTAAAAACACATCAGCTTGATTGCCGTTTACATCCATCACAGATTAAAAGGGCTTACTTTGTTTTTGTCGCTGGAATTCCGCTCAGAACAGAGGGCGCCATGATCGCGATGGCCGATACAAGAGCCAGGCAATTACATCAATAAATATTCATATTCATCGGGGCGAGATTAAATCAGAACCATTAGGTTTAATCAGAACGAGCGTTCTCATTGGCTTCGTTTGATTTTGTGATGTTTTGTGGTTAGTATTTATATTTTGTGTCTGTAATTTTCTAGCTTTCAAACGATTATGATTTTTACACATGCAATACTTTTTATAGACAGAAGTCTACGCAATAAAATGTCTCAGTACTTGAACAGACGACGGCACATCAAGCCTTTAATTGGAGAACTTATGGAGTTCAAGTAAGAGACTGAAATTCGTTGCGTGCTGTGTTGTGTACCTACCATGAGTATACGTTAGGTGTGCTCGCTAGCGAGTACGTCAAAAATCTCTATGAAGATTTTGTTTCTTGAAAGTAGCCGCTAGGGGCGCTGCACAATATGTCATACAATTAATGTCATTTTTTTACGCAGTTGCTAGCGAGCACACCTAACGTAAACTCATGGTAAGCACACTGTTGTCTTTCCCGAACACTATAATCCGGGCCTTTTCAAGGCGAGAGTGAATAAACACTTACAGGGCAAATATTATGTACCATCCTAGACAGCATCTCACTCAACATCAGGTGCAGTGCGATTGCGGTCAAATACCTGCCTTGTTCTGCATAAAAAAAAGAGTAAGCAAAAAAAATATAGTCTGGTATGCTTTCATCTGTACCTATGTAGGTAATAAAGGCCGTCACAATTTCAGTTGATTGCTCACGGAGACGGTTCCATTCAAAATTAACCCATGTTTGATAACTAACGCAACACGCAGATTGACGCACGCGCAGCCTTCGATAGGAATTTTCGCTATTAACAGGTGTTTTGTCTCTCTCTGTCATAGAGAATGAAGGGTAAATAGATAGAATTTGTCATGTTGTTTCTAACGATAGATGGCCTTTTGTTTCGTGATTTACTATGACATAAGATATTTCGTGTCATTTTGCTTTAGTACGTCAACATGCGCGTGAGTAGACACAATAGGAACTGTCTGGAGTCGACTGGTGGGATCCTTAAGGTATTATCACTATTAATTAAGACCTTTTCTGTGATAATCAAGCGGTTACTGTTTAACTGTTAAAAAAGTTACGTGTTAAGTGCTAAGATGTTGTTTTTGTGGTGTCATAGTTTTTAGCTTGACTGTATTTGGTTTTGGTGTAAAAGTGGCCCTAATAAGTATTGTACATAATAAGTACTTGCAAATGTTGCGATATATGGCCTCACTACGATCCTGCACGTGCCTCAGACGGGATCACTGTCGCCGAAACCACAAATGTATGAACTTGACAAATCGCAAAGTACCTATACCATACCATGCTACTATCTGACAAAATTATCATAACACTAGATGAAAACCCGGCTTCGCTCAGGTGCATTTGACTCATAATACACAATTCTAGGTGCAAAATGTAGATAGATGTTTCTGTAGTCATCGGTTCTCAAAGAATATTAAATATAGATTCATATAGCTTCGTTAGTTGTGTTTAATAAATATGGTAAATAAAAACTGCAAATGTTTTTACACAAATTATTTTTATTTTAAATCAACATTCAAAATAAACTAAGACAAATTAACAAAACAATCAAATTCAATCGTTAATATAGGTTATGTAAATAACTCTTATTAATAGTCAGAAACGGGATCAGATAAGAAAATACTATTTTCATCAATATCTGGCTCCGGAAGTCCGAAATCTGTTAGTCTCTTTCCGTGGAGTTTTAATGTTTCATCAATTTCTTGTAAAGCCAACTGTTTGGATAATATTTCAGGGCGGGATCTTGTAAAGTTTTCGATAAAATGTGATGCAAATTTTTCCCAAAGAGCATTAGGATCAGTTACTTCACAAAACACGCAAATTAACGCAAACAGCTGTCGTAATTGCCGAGGAAGTTTGAAACCAATTGCTTCATCCAAACATCTTTCCCATTCTTGATCGTCAAAAAGTAGCCCCCTTGCTTGAGCAGCTTCTCGAAATGATGTGTAAATAATATTTTCATATTAATAAGTTCTAACATCTCTGAAGCAAGTCGTCCCTTTGACGTGAAGAAGTAATAGCCGGAGATAATATCTTTCCCGATCAGAAAAGGAATAATTATACATTCTTGCAATTACTTTATCAGCCGCTGACTGAGATATTCGTGGTTGCCACTGTCCATGGATAAATCTGAAATGTGTCGGAATTTCAGTGTAAAGATATTGTCGAACACTTTCATCTGTTCTGTTTGGTTCAAAAAATGCTAATAATATTTCTGGAATTGGCTTTAAGACTGTCTGGGTCTATGTATACCTTCATATTATGACAACTATTTTTAAAATGATTTTTAATTTTTTCACCTAAAAATGAAGTGCTTGACATTGAACACATTCATAAATCATAGAACCAACTGAATGTATATACTTGAATGGTGTTATTTGAAAGTGCTAAATATAAATAGTTAGTCCTGGGGGGCTGATATTCTGTACTAAACCTGCTTGAATGTTTACGTTTTTTCGGGGGTCTGCCCGCCATTTGATATGTTTTCTTTCTCTTCTTCTTCTAAAGAAATAAAATCACTGCTGACTGACAGCAGCTGTTTTTCCTTGTTGTCCGAAGAAGCATCATCACTGCTGACTGACAGTAGCTGTTTTTTCTTGTTGTCCGAAGAAGCATCATCAATCATCAATGAATCCTCGATTAGCGTCAACTCTTCGTTATCAACCTTAAAAGAGAAATATATTTATGAATAGCTAATTTAAAGCTTTAATTTAAAGATTTAATTTAAATTTTTAATGCTATATTGTGTTATACTCTTATTAAACAAATTTAATAAGATGTGATGAAAAAATGCACCACATGCAGGAATTGAACCTACATCCTCGACTTCTCCGTTGTCGCGCTCCATCTGAGCTAACTGAGTTTAATAAGAGAAATATATTTTATTTTTAGACAAATATTCAAATAATAATAAGTATTGTGAATGTATGTAGGTGTAGGTATATCCTCCCACCTCTATATTTATTTATACCTCTGTAAAAGATAAATAAAGTTTATTTATTATTATTATTATTTTACTTTACTCAGTGACCTACACTATTAACGTACCTGAAAGTCATCAAATAAATCTTGTGAAGCAGCAGAAGCAGCTTTTTGCTTTTTAGGAAAAAGGTTTGATAGTGCCCGAGCCTTGTTTATTCTTAACCCAGCTTATGGCGTTGATCGCATAGTGAGTGGATGGTGAACTACTAAAGATGGCGACAGCGGTTTGTTTGTCAATGCCATCGGAATTTAACGAAATTCTCCATTATCCGAATTTTGCGGATATATGTTGTCGACTCAAAATCGTTATTTTTTTATGCTTTGTTATTCATATAAGGTTTCGATCCAGTCTACCGTACCCCTTGACGAAATTATTAATATAGATTATTGGTTGTAATACCTACCATAAATTACTTAAATTAGACAACGTTACCGATAATGTCAGATTTGTATTGATTAATTAGCATCAAGTTTATTTACAAAAATGTTCACGGACTTCTTGTTTTACCTTCAGGTGAAAGTAGCTCACCAAAATACAATTTGTTCATTAACCTTGGTATTTTCAACAGGGCGTGCAAAGTGGCCTCAAAAGAGTGGTGGGGCTGGCGATGCTGTCGTTGTCGATTCCCGTCGAAGACAAAAACAAAGTCAGTAGCTCGAGTTGAGCATGGTCATCATCATCATCTTCATTGTCATTTTCAACATCCTCATCATCAATATGAACTTTAATATCAATGTAAAAAGGAGTTGTTACTTCATTTTTAACTTGCGGGTCCAACAGTTTAACTTTCCCCGGAACAAACTTGACCTTCATTGGTTGGGTTTTATTGGCGGTCAAGCTGTAGATCCTGGCTACACATGAGTTGCAGTGGTGGGAATAGTCCCGTTCATTGTAAACTGCTTACATTCTAAATCCAATTCTTTTCTCAGTTCTTTATGGTAATTTATGATAAAAGTATGGTAGGGCGAAAAAAAAGAATGAGACATGTATAGGCTCCTTAAGAGCATTTGACGATTTGCAAGTACTAATTTAATTAGTCTAAACAAATAAAGAAAATTTTGATTTTTATGGTGACAAAACTTAAAAGACACCGGAAAGAAACAAAAGCAGAAACTTTGGATGTAGGTGAACTTTTGAAATCGTCTAAATAATGTCATTATGTTTCTGTAATTCTATGATTCCTTTTGTATATTATGTTTATCAATCTAATTAACCGCTTGAGTCCCAGACGGCATTAATTAATGTCATAACAATTGATTATCTATTGTGTCTAGATTCGCGGGCCTTGAAGGATTAATCTCACCTCAAATAGGTAGTGACTGCTTATCTTAATAAGTCTGTCATTAGGATCCATAATAATTCTTGTCGACTCCCATAAATCATAAAAGCAATGGTAACTAATAAATCGACTATATCCATCGATATCATTGTTTTCATTCTACGCTAATAATAGGTACGTTCTTCCTCGTGTCATGACGTCTATATTTTCCTTATTGAGATAGAAATAATATTTAGTGGTTTGACAGTAATTTGTTGTTTTGTTACTAGTTCAATTAGTTGGGGACAATAGATTAAAATTCAATTGTTTTGATGATTGTATCCAGTTTCTAAGCGGCTATAAAACGCTTTAAACGAAGTCATTTTATGGAGAGCATCAAACAAATTTCGAATTTCCTCATCCCCAAATTTTAAATTAATTGTATTTTTTTTATTAATTAATTATATTGCAATACTCTTCGAGGCTATCAGTGTGTTTGATTTTATCAGACTATTTGAAAAACGACATCACTTCACGTGGTCACCATTAAAATAGTAAATAGACGATACCTACCTTAATCGAAATGAGATATGAATGATTGAGCATCATTATCATCATCATTAACCATATCAACACCATCATCATCATCATGAGCATTAACGGTTTGCAGTGGCTCGTTTTCTTGAGTTTTTGATTGTACAGATTGTTGTCTATGGGATGATTTGAACTCAAGCATGTTACCTGTCTGTGACCTGGATTGGGGTTACCCTGGATCGTGTTTCCTTGTCTATGTTTTCATGTATTTTACTTTGATCTAAAATAACAAAGGGTGTAAAAATGTAAAAAAAATATGTTCGTTTGTTATAAGGGAGCAAATATGATTTTGTGATGATAGCTGTTCTTGTATTTTTCAAAAACATTAAAAATGAGTATTACGTAATTTGTTTTTAATGTTTCGGATATGGAATCATTTTAAATCCAGCTGCTCGTGAGTCGCGCCTGAATAACAACCAACTTATAAAAACAATACAAAACATTGTGCATATTATCGTGTTATCCCGAATGTCGGAATGTATGTGTCCCATAACTTTAATTAGAACCAAAGTTGTTTAGTCAATCTTGCCTTTTATAAATAAGTCTCTACCAAGACCTACACATAATCTGCATCTGATCCAATGAATGTAATTTTTGTGAAATTATCCAAATATCTGTAATGATGATCCCTTTTAGTGTTATTAAATGTCCGAATTATTTGCACTATTTAGGATCTATTTAGGATTCCAAAATTGTGTTAAAAGCATGTATTGTACCACGTTATACAGTCAAATATGTTGGTAAGTGACAAGGTGAGTTTAAATAGGGCAACCGTTTTTGTCCGAAATGTATCAGCTTACTCAAAGGCTCTCAAAGGTAAGGTATTTTCAGCAGTGTGTGTATTTTAACTCTGACTAATCCCATCTACTGACATTGTATTACAAAGCTAATAATGAATATTCTCTAGTAATAGCGGAAATTCCCAATTAAATTGAAATTGAATTAGCTCCATGATATCCTGGGTCAAAGTCCAGAAGTTTTTTCAAGAGTATTGATCAAGCCATTCTACTATTTAATATACCCCCTTACTAAAAAAACTTACACGCTCGTTGAACAGTGTTTTAAAGAACCGTTTAGTATGGAAATGTCATTTTAAAACAGTGTTCAACAACTGTGTTACTTTTTATTAGTAAGGGGGTAAGAATGTAACAAATAAATCAATTGCTGTAAAAATACTTTTAGGGAGCTTCACCAGACTAAACTATGGCTTCACCTTCGTTCTAGGAATCCTTAACCACAGAGTAACTGGCTATCTTACCGCTAACTGCCGAAAAACAATGCTGTTAACATTGTTTATAGGTACAGTTTCAGATTACGCCAACACGCGCTCTTTACAAATTGGACACAATACAAAGCATGCACGGTTAAATAAAATCACCTTGCTATAGAAAATCGACAATGAACATTGCTAATTTAAATCGTGGCAGCTTGTCGCAAGGCCGGCGATTTGTCAAGTGCCTGATAAAAATCTGTTTTAGCACACTATATTATTTATGTAACATTATATTCTACAAAACTTCAGACAAAGATTTCCTTCAGCCTACCTGCTATATTTAATCTAGTTCTTTCGTTTCAGCCGAAAGACCTCGTTCAAGGTTTTCCACAAAGACCGGTTCTGTGCCGCTCGCATTCAGGCACGCGGGAGGTGTCTGGATGCGAGCGGACCTATACCAGATCGTCGGTCCACCTAGTGGCCTGCCCACGCTACGTCTTCCGGCTCGTGGTCACCACTCAAGAACTTTCCTGCCCCAGCGGCCATCAGCTCTTCGAGCTATGTGCCCCGCCCACTGCCACTTGATTTTAGCGATTCTGCGGGCTATGTCAGTCACTTTGGTTCTCCTACGGATCTCCTCATTTTTTATTCGATCTTGCAGGGAAATTCCGAGCATAGCACGCTCCATCGCCCTTTGGGTGGCCTTGAGCCTTCTAATGAGGCCCACAGTAAGCGACCACGTCTCAGCCATCGACCAATACCTATTGAAAATATTTATGGTCAAGTCAAGCATCTTACTTGGTGGTCTGAAATGAATTATTACTTGTTGTGGTCTACCGCAGTGTAGTCGTTAGTAACTTAGTAAGTAACAATTTAAGGTTACTTTGTAACGTGCCAGTAACATTGTGTACTTTGTTGAGTACAGTTATCAGCACATTAGACTGCATTATTGAAAGAAAGAAAAAATATTTACATATTTGTACTATTGGTGCATTAATTATCGCTACACTACAAAAGATGCTACAGTGTTAATCTTGACATGCCGTTGTCTGAATGAGGGTGTAGAATTAACTCATAATTTAATTCAGTCAATGCCCTAGGTATGGGAGCGGCACGGGAGGGGTGATTTTGACATGCAAATCTGAAGTCTCGCTTACATTTTACGCAACAAAAAGGGTTAGTAGTAGTTTCGCACGATTTTCCTTCGCACGAATGTGCGAAACGTATAATCCCCAAAAAAAAAAATATTGAAACGTCCCCTTTCAATAATAATTTTTTTTAGTAGGCGTTTCGCCCGGATGTATCATAAGTATTAAAAACGGGTGCAAATCGACCCTTTTGAGAACTAGTAATCGCATACTACTAGTTCAAAAAAGAGTCGATTCGCACGCGATTTTAATACGTTTAATACATCCGGGCGAAACGCCTACTAAAAAAAAATATTATTGAAAGGGGACGTTTCGCACGTAAACTACTACTAANGTAGGCGTTTCGCCCGGATGTATCATAAGTATTAAAAACGGGTGCAAATCGACCCTTTTGAGAACTAGTAATCGCATACTACTAGTTCAAAAAAGAGTCGATTCGCACGCGATTTTAATACGTTTAATACATCCGGGCGAAACGCCTACTAAAAAAAAATATTATTGAAAGGGGACGTTTCGCACGTAAACTACTACTAACCCAACAAAAAACATCCTCCCGTACCGCTTCCATACCTCGGGCACAGACTGATTTACGTACTAGAATATTTGAATGCCATTTGGTCATCTTTTGTTTTAGCACCGGCGTGTTAGGTGAAGCCATCAAACTATGTCATACGACGTCGTCAAGGTTGAACAGGAAGTGATAATAGATAACGTTATCACTGTTTCTTTCATAATCAATTAGGATGGACCGACAGAATATGTAGGTAAACCACTTAGTGCAAAAGTTGTTCTAGAATTGGCTATCTTTTAATTGATTTTAAACTACTAACTAACCTAAGGCTCGGAGTAGGAATTTAGTTTAGCCAAACGTAATTTCGTTTCCCCCTAACAACTACCTACATAAAGAACTCTATTTTCATTCTGTTTATGCTTAAATACCTCT